ACCACTTTTTCTTGATTGATAACAAGAGGTTATTCTTGGATAACCTCCCATTTTTGTATAAAGTCAACGAAGTTTGGCATTTCAGTATTATTACCGACGCAGAATCGGCAGCACAACCATGGATAAAGTTGATTTTGAAGTGTTTTATTTAGTCAGTTATTTTTTCGTAGAAGGTTGGGAAATTTTTTTATGTGTTAACTAAAGAGTTAGTGGTGATGTGCCGAATTTTCGGGTTGAAGGAAAGGCTAAGGAAAAAGACGGTGAACAGGAATTTTCATTAGTAATATTAGTAACATTTAAGAGATAGTAAGTTTGCTCATTTTCGATACTTTGTTTTTACCAGTTTTTTATAGAAAAAGCAATTAGTTTTCTATTCTAAATATTTAGCTACTTTTAAGTACTACAAATAATTTACCATACTAAATTCTTTAATTTTCTAATAATTTTATACGTCATGTAGGGTTCCTAATAAGTTAATAGATACTTGTTTACTTTAAAACGGTTTCAAGGCTTATACATTATTTGCTGTTATAAACATTTACTTATTAATTATTTTCAAATTTGAAAAACATTTGATAAGAATTTTTTAGAATAGTCGTAGTGGTGTAGGTCAGTTAAATATCCGTTAATTTGATTGTGGTTCACACGTCAAATTAAGTAATTGTGAAAATTAAAATTTATTATCGCTTAAAATTATTCTTAAAATTGTTTTTGATGTAACATACAGACTTATCCTGATGATTCATACTCTAAATATTTCATATGTGATTTTAACAGTCTATGCTTCATTCCAATATTTGTCTAGGAGCCAGGGGGGTTAAATATGCCCCTTTATTTAGCCTCGGTACCATGATTTTTTATGTCTTTAGGTGCCTAGATTCGATTTTTCGACAGTACCAGCCTCAAAAGTTGTCAGATAATTTATTATTAACAATGTAATTGTCTATATGGTTGTATCTCCTAAAGTATTAGAGATATTTCATTTTGCCAAAATTAAAATTGTTCCTTTTGAGAGAATAAACAAAATGGTGTTTGGTTAACTTTGATGCGATTTTTATAACCGGAGTTATAACAAATTTCGTGAAAAGCATTTGCAAAATAGACATTCGATAGTGCTTTTTCCAGTATAACTCAGCTTTCATACATTCTATTAACTTTCAAAACGCCCTCATTTTAAAGGAAATTCTTTCAGCTTTAAAAAAACTTCGTAAAATTACTTTATCGTTATTAATAAAAAAGTTATAATAATTAACATTAAAAATTTCACTAAAAAGTTGCGATTTAATTTGTTTATAAGAGATTTAAAACAAAATTAAGCTATAAACTTTGAAAATCTGGCTAATGGAAGTTATATAACAATTCAAAATAAACATTTTAAGCTTTGGTAAATGTATTTGGTATGTAGGAAACTTTATATAACAGACTCTGAGGCTACTGTATAACTATAAATCAAAAATTATAGCAATTTATAGTTAAAATCTTAGTTTAAAAGTGGGAACTAGTTTGTTATAAGACTTGTACACAAAATTTGGCCGTATACTTTGGCAGTTTTTTTTAATGGGAATTATAAAACAATTCAAAGCGAACATTTTAAGCTTTGATAAATGTATGTATGTTAATTTTTTGCTGATATATTGAAAATTTGATATACGCGCGCCCGCATTCTCTGAGGGCTGACCGTGCGCCGCAGACGCGATATTAAAATATTAAAAGTTCCATACCTTGATCAAAAAATAACATAGAAACGTTTAAGAAATCTTAAAATGTTCGTTTTAAATTGTTCTATATCTTGCATTAGCCAGAATTTCAAAATGTATAGCTTAATTTTGTTTAAATATCTATTATAACTTTTTTATTAATTAGATATAAAGTAATTTGGCAAATTTTTTAAAGCTGAAATAATTACCTTTAAAATGAGGTTTTGAAAGTTAATCGTACTTATGAAAGCTGAGTTATACTTTAAAAACCCCATCGAATGTCTATTTTGCAATTGTTTTTCAAGAAATTTGTTAAAACGGTTCTAACAATAGAATCAAAGTTTATCAAACGCCATTTTGTTAATTTTTTCCAAAGGAACAATTTTCATTTTGAACGGGTTTTAAGTCTAGTCCGCTCTAAAAATCCAATTTATATACCAAAAATCATAAATGAAACGTAAAGGTACCGAGGGGACATAGAAGTGAATACACAAACCCCCACTTTGGGTTACCAAACCAACAAAAATATCATTTTTTAACCAAAACTTGTTTTACAAAGTTACTGGTATTTTGAAAAATGGAAAATTCACTCATCCCAGATACCTATGTTATCAAAAGGATTGCGTTTTGGTGGAACTCTTTTCTTGGTGAGGAAACCAACCTTATTTGATTAACCTTATCGAGCTCTAGGTGACTTGGTAGGCTGAAATATCTTTTATTATCGAAATTTTTACATACGGCTCACACTCCATCTGAGGGCAAAATTCACTCATCCCAGATATCTAGGATATCAAAAGGATTTACTATTTATTTAAACTATTACTTGTAGACGAAATATTTTTATCATTTAAAAAGCTGACAATTTTTACACGAATTAAAAAAAAAATTATTCTGGGACAATTAGGTAAAAACTATGGATTTTTTAATTCGCAGCTAATTTGTTTACAATAATTAGAAAACGTAATTAGTCTCATTTTATAGATAAAGATGTGAAAGTTTTATTATACAATAAAAAATCAATTAGAATAATCAATTTTTTGGAAAACATATTTTTTTAATTGTTTAAACGAATTACATTGTCTGTTTAATAATAGTAATATTAAAATACAGATTAGAAATGATCAAAATCCGTCAACTAGAACCGGAGCTGGAGGTACTGAAACTTTTCAAGGCTCTTTTTAATTTTTTGTACTCTTGAATTTAGTTTCTCTCTTCACATGGCCCGATTAATCTTTTCACCTTATTTGTAACACTTACTAATGAAACTTGAACTTTATCTTTAAAATGAGACTAAAAACTAATGTGAATTTAAGAAAAATCCCTACTTTTACCTAATTGTCCAAGAATAACTTTTTTTTTTCTTTGTTTTTTGGTGCATATATATATATATATATATATATATATATATATATATATATATATATATATATATATACATTCGGTTTTTATAACGTCTTACGACGTTGTCCGACTCCCAACCGCCACTGTATTCGATCTTGAGTTAGGTCTTCGTCCAGATTTCGAGCGCTAATCGCTTTCCTAACTCCCAGGTTCCAGCTCTGTGGTGGTCTTCCTCGTTTCCTCTTCTCTGGGGGTTGCCACATCATCGTTTTTTTAGGCAATATTTCGTCCCCCATTCGGCTCACATGTCCATACCATATGAGCTGTTTTCTCTCAATATCCTCAACTATAGTGCCCTCTATACCCATTTGTTGTTTTATCACTTCATTTCGTATTCTGTCGGCTCTTGATATTCTCATCGATCTTCTGATGGCATCCATTTCCGTGGCTTCGACCTTTTTCTTATATTTCTCGGTTATTCTCCATGTCTCAGCTCCATAAAGTAGGCTAGTTTTAAACATTGTCTCATAGATGTTCCATTTTCTTTTCTTTGATATTTCTTTACTCCATAGAACTCCGTTCAAACATGCTATAGCTCTTCGTGCTTGTACAATTCGATGTTCTATTTCTCGTTCGTCTTTTCCACTACGGTCGAAGATGACGCCCAGGTATTTATATTCGTCACATGGTGCATATTAAAAGTAAAAGTCTTTACCTTTGATACGATAGCAGTAGTATTACCATACCTTCATTACTTTATGGCATATGATATTACAAAAAAATTGGCCATACTGTTCTCACTCCCTCCGAATGGAAAACTCAGTCAATCCGGATACGTACGTCGTGTCATTACTTGTTTCAGTACCTTCAAGACCGGTGAACGGCTCGTATCATTTTTAGAAATGAGAATGTCGTTGTTGATCTCAGCACAAACAATGACATTTTCATTTCTAAAAATGATACGAGCCGTTAACCATGCTTCGGAAGGCACGTTAAGCCGTCGGTCCTCCTGGGCTAGTGTGTGTATCGACACTAGCTACTTGAAACAGGGCTAAATATGCAATTTGGCTAAATATGCAGTTGACCATAAAAAACATCGAAGCTTTCGAGATGTGGTGCTATAGGCGCATTCTCAGAATATCATGGATGGACCGCGTCACTAACACGCAAGTACTCCAAACTTTAGACAAAAGATGCGAAATTCTAAATGAGATAAAAACTAGAAAGATGGAATACTTGGGGCACATTGTGAGAGGTGAAAAGTACGAACTTTTAAGAAACATCATGCAGGGCAAAATTAAGGGCAAAAGAAGTGTGGGAAGAAGAAAAATATCGTGGCTTCGTAATCTACGTGAATGGTTCGGGTGTAGTTCGATTAAACTTTTCAGGCGCGCTGCTAACAAAGTCGCAGTGGCCATGATGATTTCCAATCTCCGCTAGGAGTGGCACGAGAAGAAGAAGGTTAATTAACGTTATTTGAAAAAATTATATATCTCGAAGATTTTTAAGAAAACGAAAAAATATCTTTAAATCTAGAGACCACTTGTGGATTATTTCAATCAAATCGCAGTACTAATATTGGATGTATCTTTCTATATCAATTTCATTTACCCAAAATTGGACATAGGCCTCTTCTACTTTGTATTATTCTTCTCTGTTTTTTGCTATATTCATCCATTTCCTGCTTGCGATTTTTTTGAGGTCGTTTACCCATCGCATTTCCTAGTAATCCTTGTCCTCTCCAGTTTTCCCAAAGTATCCACTGTACGATTAAACTATTTCACTTTTTAACTTCATACCTGATCTGTCTGTTAATTTTACCATTTTAGTTTTGCAATTTCTCTTCCGACATTTATTGTTGACAATGAATGAATATTATATAAAATAACATTTATTCAAAAATAGTATATGCTATATGATTTTTCACTGCAAGTTATCATTGTAGATGAAATCTCCCATGCAGAGCTATGTTGCTATTCTGATTCTTCTCAGTAAGTAACAAAATAATTTAAATTTCTGACTGATTTTTGTCACTTCTGTCATTTCTGATAATTACTTGTCAAAAATTTGCAGAATTTGCAAAATATGTAGAATCAGTTACGTGATATTTTTAATAAATAAGTTTCTTCAAAATGGCCCATAAAATACAATAATTCATAACTTTTCTATATTAAAATAGTGAAGAGCAGTACCAAATAGACTGGCAACATATATCTGCAAGAATCTCGAATTTGTATCAAAATAAAAAAGAAACTAAATGAGCAGTACATGACTACAAATAAAAAGTCAAGTTCACCCCAGTGTATTGGTCATCATTCCTACTGGTTACGTGCAAGTATGTATGTATGTAATTTTTTTCTTATCGCCACTTTTAGTCCAGTTGTCAGAGATTGGGTCACTAAAAACGAAAGGAACAAATTGAAGTCAATTTTAGGACTCCAAAAAATATGCAAAAAGTTTGCCACTCATACCCCGTGCTTCCAAGAATCTGTACGCCTTAGAATAAAATGTTTCAAACAAGAAATGTGGCTGAGATAATTTTGACCAAAAATGTTTAATATCACTTTTTGCGTCGAATGAACCATTCTCTCAGAAACATTCGAAATCTTTTAAAGGTGAACAGTACAAGTACAACCTTCGTATGCATTTTTTTCATTTTGCCGCAAATGAAGTCAGTTTCTATGAAGCTGTTAAATAAATAAACGGTGCGCGATCTTTGCCATTTTTCTGATTCTCATGAGATCAATAAAATTTACGACTTTAATGACCGGTTGCTGTGTAATTTTCATTATTAGAGCCTAATCTTAAAAACCTATAATATGCCTAAAAAATGCTTTAAACTTTCACGTTACAAACGATAGTATAATTTTAGGGTTCAGTGGCATTTTCGTCCCTGATGACTGGAGTATTTGTACAAATCTGCAATTCTTAACTCTTGATAGTTTTCCTATCAAATACCTGTTTTACAAATGTTGCTGTTTTTCCAGTTTTTCATAATTGATTTTCTAGTAGATAAAGATGATTAGTAAATTGTATTTGATAACATTTTTATCGAACTATAAATTAGTTTTTGCTCATTTAAGTATTAAAAAAGTAATTTAGATAATAATTTATAATTATAATCATTATACACAATCAAAATTTCACAAAAGTTTCACAATAAGATAATATTTATTACAGCAATAAGCATATCATAATTATCTACTGTATCAATAATCGATTTCTATATAATGTAGGGTGTCTAAGAAGGTAATATACAACATTCGTATGGTACAAATATTATGGTTTCTCATGGGACAAAGAGCATTTTCTCTATCGCTAACATCGCGCTATGGTACCAAAATTAGTTAAATAATACAGTAATGCCATCATCAGTTGGCGCTACAACTCTTTGTGGACCTTGACCTGCCTCAAAATATTCTTCCATCGTTCCCAGTCGAGTGTCTGTCTTCTCCATCCCCTTAAATCTTTCTGCACATCATCTACACATCTGACTTTATGATCACTTTCATACATCCGCATAAGGTGGCCCACTCATCTTAGGCAGTTTATCTTGATGTTTTTCACGATATCTGCATCACCAAAAAATCTACAGAGTTCGAAATTATATTCGTCTTCTCCACCTACCCTATTCGTTAACTTCGTCATATACGGCCCTCAATACTTTTCTTTCAAAGATTCTAAATAATTCTTCATCTCGAGTCGTCATTGCCCATATTTCTGATCCGTAAGTGAGCATTGGGCTTGTTGTTTTATTAAGTTTGGACTTTGTTGCTGTTCAAATTCTTTTCGCTCTTAGTTGAGGGCCTAGGCCAAAATAATAGCGATTAGCCACGCATATATTGTATTTCTTTGGATGTGTTGATTTTGTAGTCCACCTCATTCTTGTTGCATTATTGATATCTTTTTCTTAGAGTGGCTGTCCGTTCCGGACGTTGGCGATCATATGATGACTATGTTGGCTGCTATACAGAATAGCTTTGTTGAGGTCTTTCTATACCATGCTCTCAGTTTAGCAAGCCAGGATTTTCTTCTTCGTTCTAGGGCCCTTTTCCCTTCAATTTTACCTTGCAAAATGCATTGTAGTAGCTCATATCTGTCTTGATTTCTCATTATATGTCGCAAGGACTGCAGCTTACGGCCATTCACGATGTTGACCAAATCCGCAGTTGTGTTCATCCTCCGTAGTCATTGGTGACTTTGCCTGTCCATGGTATCTTCACGATCCTTTTGTATAACCATAGCTCAAAAGCCTGAAATTTTGATAGTTTCCGCCTTCAACGTCCACGTTTGTACACCGTACAGAATCACTGAGTACACGTAACATTTAGGGAGCCTTATTTTTGTTTTTAAAGTGAGGTCATGGCACTTGAACACAGAGCTAATAGTCAAGAATGCAATTTTTGCCTTTCCGATACTAAATTTAATCTCTTGGGTATTGTCCCACGACTCTTGGTAGAATTATTGATATAGCCGGCATATATTTAGTTTTCTGGATGTTAATCAGAATTCCGATATTTTCTGCGGCGTTTTTGATACGTGTAAAAGCTTCAACTGCTTCATTTCGGGTTCGTTTAATGATCACGATATCATCAGCATATGCCTATATTTATATACTACGGGTATATATCGTACCCTTTAAGTTTATTCTCGAGTCTCTCATAACTTATTATAATGCTGGATTGAACAGAGTACATGATAGCGCATCTCCTGGAGCAGTGCTCGGTTAGATTTAAATGGTTCTGAAACATCCCCTTGTACCCCCATTTTACATCCGACTCCCTCATTGTCATCTTGGTCAATTCTACCAATCCTTTTGGTATTCCAAATTCTGTCATCTTGGTCAATTCTACCAATCCTTTTGGTATTCCAAATTCGATCATAGCTATATATAATTGGGGTCTGTTACCAGTATTGTACGGTGCCTTAAAGTCTACGAAGATGTAATGGCAGTCTATGTCTTTGTCCGTTATTTTTTCTAATCTTTGTGATGGATGATATGTGATCAATGGTAGATATGTTGCTCTTTATTGATTATGATTTTTTGTTTATGCTTTTGTTGTTCCGCTCTTCTCTTTACTTGATATTCTTCAACTTTGCTATTAGTCCTTCGGTTGATCATTTTCATTCTTTTATTTGGATATCCGTTTGCATTCTTTATTTTGGGTGGTTCTACTTCACTTCTGGGATGTTCTGTTTGTTTACGATCTAAGCATATTTGAAAGTTTCTGACGATGTCAGTACACTCCAATTTATCAACGTTATAGTTATTTATTTCTGACTTAATTTTATCATTCCTAGCGTTTGATATACGTGCTCTGAGACTCCCGATCTGATCTAAGCTATGAGATAGTGATCGGAGTCAATAATACCATAACTTGAAAAAGTTTGGTTGTGATAATGCTTATTCTAAATGTTGTTTAGATGATAGGCCTGCAAGAATTGAAGTGTCACTGTTAAAACAAAAAATAAAAGAAAAGACTAATATTTTCGCTCACTTCCAAGCAGAATACAAAGAACTTAGATAAAAAATGATCTCACTAAACAGCGCAACATGGCTTTTCTGGAAACAATGAGTAGGATTAGACTATGTTTCCATTGTTGCAAGATATGTTTCTTGTAAATTCATTTCATATAGTTCCGATACTGTATAAGTCATTTTCTTTAAAATAAACATTAAAATGTGATTCTATTAAGACACTTTTTGTCGTCTCTGTTTTCAAACTTAATGTCTTGGTGGTAAGATGCTACGTTATTAAAATTACCCACGCCTTTATTAGTACATTATCAAAAAAGATATAGAAAATATGTATTGCTCAAGATGCAATAGAAACCTGTACATGACAATTCAAAGAGCAAACTTATTATCTCGTTAATTAGTGACTTTAATTCGATGCCAGTATCCTTCGCCTATTCTCGATCTCAATGTTTTTATCATCAATTGTTGTTCAGTAAACATATTATAACCATATTTGTCATTTTTCTGTTTCACAGGAGGTTCAGAATGGCAAACGATAATTACTCGATTTTTACCAGTTGGAATATGTTTAGTAGCTGTTATGCAGTGGAGGGCATTCAGAAAAAGACAAAAGGATGGAGTTGCAAGTCAATGGGAGATCAACTGTTATTGTTTGCTTCCCTTGAGAACAGTATCTAGATGTTGGGGGTACCTTGCAGGTAAGTTTTATATGTACTATATAATGTGTTTAATGATCAGATTGGGTATGTATTAAACCTTTTCTGTATTTGGTAGTATTGAGGTCAAAACCGTTTACTAACAAACATTGCAATAAGTGTTTCAATAACTTTAATTAAATCACACATTTAGAAGAGAATTAGTACACTGGATGAGCTTATAAGAAATACAAAAAAGCTTGTCGCTAAGTCGTGTAAACAAAATACACAAGATAAGCTGCATTTGAAGATGTTGACTAAGAATAAAAATAAAATTCTTTATCCTCTTAATTATTAAGATGATATAGAAAAACATAATAGCCCAACTGAAGAATATAATATAGAAATAAAAGAAGAATTCTACGAACAGCTAGAGAAAATATACGACAGCTATCCGAGAAATGATATCAAGATCGTACTAGGAGATATGAATGCTCAAATAGGCAAAGAAGAAAAGAAACCTTTAGTAAACACTCACTCCATCAAAACACCAATGAAAATGGAAAATTACTAATCAACTCTGCCAATAGAAAAATATGATCATAGGCTTGACCCATACCACGATTATATACAAAGCGACATGGAATATGCCTGGTGGAACAATTACCAACCAAATTGATCACGTCTTTATAGACAACAAAAGTGTCGCAACAGGCATACAAGATGTGAAGAGTCGAAGAGTAGTATGTTGCGGATGTGGCCATCTCCTAGTACAGATCAAATATAGATGCAGAATTCAGAAAAACAGAAGAGGCAAACAGAAACAAAACAACAGAACAACTAGATATACAAAAATTGAGACAACAAGATATAAAACCGAACTATGAGACTGAAATATTACAAACACTAACAAATACAAACAGTCTAGGCATCGAAGAACATGGCTATTAAATCAACGCAAAAGTAATTGACTTGGAACCCCCGACGATGGAAAAAGTAAAACAAGCAATACGAGCACGAAGGAATAACAAGGCTCTTCTGAACTATAGAAATTAGATGAACCTAGAACCTCCGAAATCTCCGAGAATGGTATTAAGCGACCACTGCTAATTTATTTAGAGCTGCCCTAAACAAAGTTACTATTGCCAATATGATCGCCAACGTTCTATAATCGGACAGCGTACTGAAAGAAGAAGAAGAAGAACCTAGATGAATAGGGAACACCTAGTAGGATAAATGCATGTACTCATGAACAAGATTTGGATTGATGAGAAGATCCCCAGCTACTGGAAAACTGACAGTCTATAACAAAGAGGATAAACTGAAATGCGAAAATGATCGCTGCATACCCTTTTGTACACTGCGTGCTAAGTTCTCACTCAACAAATGACTTCAACAAAATATTATCGAGGAATGTCAAACCGTTTTTCGACAAGGAAAATCTCCAACTGTACAGCTGTTTACACTGAAACGAATTCTAAACAAATCGTGGGAATACAACATTGACGTCCACACAACATATTCATAGATTTCAAAAAGGCCTACCACTCAATTAATAGACACAAGATATACCAAATATTTCACAGCTATAACATCCCTCAAAAATGTATCCGACCAGTAAAAGTAACAATGGACTCGTCAACAGAAACTGTAAGAATAAAGAATGAGTTCACTAAGAACTTTTTAATAGTGCAAACACTCTTCAACCTATCTCTCGAATACGTGAGAAGACAGTTAAATATAGACGAGCTAATCTAACAAATAAATCAATTGAGATTGCCGCCTATGCCGATGGCATCAGCCTTATCTCTCGCAGACGGGAAGAGGCGGCAGAAATATACCGAATTCACGATAAAAATGGAACAAACGAGACCAGACTAGAAATCAATATATAAAAGACAAAAAACTAATACAGGCAATAGCTATGGGAAACTGACGCACAGTTGAATTAAAGGAGGATATTGAAACAGTAGAAATTTTGACATATCTGGGAGTTGCATTAAACACGGACGGAACAGAACTACAAATTCAGATAATAGTAAAGAAAACAACGTTTATTTTTCATTCGCCCATGTGTTCCGCTCCAAAAACACACATTGAAGATCGAAAATCAGAATCTACAAAATAATTATCAGACCAATAATATATTATGGATGCTACACATGGGTGATGCCAGAAAATACAAAAATAAAGCTGGAAGTATTTGAAAGAAAAGTCCTAAGGGAAAAATTTGGACCTATTAACGAAAACGTATTATGGAGATCCTTTTACAACCATGAACTCTACCAACTATTCAAAGAGTTATCGACCTCAGACCTCAGAATTCCTTAATTTTCAGAGACTTCGATGGGTTGATCATGTATACCGAAAAGAGCCCTAAATAGTAAAATGCAGTGCGCAAGACCAAAAGAAACGCCACGGAAAAGGTGAGAGGATCAAATGGCAGCAGACCGCAAGGTTTACTAGACTGAGAATTTGAGAAGACCGGCAAGGCTGGAGGCATAGTTTGGAGGAAGCCAAGGCTCGATTTGGGTTGTAGTAACGTTGGAGAGAGACAGCTGCATTTTGTGTCACTTAAGTTGTGAGATATAGAAATTAAGAAAGAATGCCTAATGACCGATTATATGTTGGAATACCAAATAAGCGAAATCATCTAATAAACACTACTAATGGTTTGCAAAGTGTACAATCAATATTTTCCTACTAACATTACCAATTTTAAACATGGGAAGAGGTGTAGGGTGTTTAGAAATATAATATCCTAATATTAATATACACTGCCGAGCATAAAATTAGGGTCACCTCGTAATTTGAATTTATTTTAGAAATTTTTATTCTTTTTAACTACATATTTTCTGTTGTAACATAGTTTACTACCAGATTTCTTAAAGAAAACAAGGTTTTTATCCTTCAACATTTATTGAAAGTAATGAAAATTATTCTCTAGAAATCTAGATTTCCAAAATAAATTCAAATTACGGGGTGACCAGAATTTTATGCTCAGTGCTGTATAAAAATACTAAGAAATTCTTGTGTTTTAAACTCTACTACTGTAGTCAAGTTACCACCTTGTTGGGCTGGCTAAGATGTAAATTGGAGCTAGAAGGTCAGATAATAGAACAAGTGATAAAGTTTAAATATCTAGGCATCATATTATCTAGCTAAGGAAAGCTCGAGATTGAAGTGGAAAATCAAGTGAATAGAGCAAACAGAGCCGCAGGTTGCCTGAATAAAACAATATGGAGAAATAAAAATATCGAGAAAAAAATGAAAGGCAGCATTTACAAAACAGTCATCAGACCAATAATGACATACGCGGCAGAAACACGACCTGACAAAGAGAGCACAAAAAGGATGTTAGAAACAGCAGAGATCAGAATATTTAGAAAAATTTATGCTAAGACACTGTGGGACAGAGCTAGAAGTACAGATTAGACATAGATGCAAGCTGGAGAACATCAAGAACTAGGTAAGAGATAGAATAGTAGAATGCAACTATCATATAAGCCGAATGACAACAATTGAGTAGTAAAGACGGCTTTCCCAATATGAAGGCGATCAGTAGGAAGACCACGAAAACGATGGAACGCCAACTTACTGGAGGCTCAATGAAAAACAGAGTCATGTCTATATAAAAAGAAGAAGACGAATTATAGAAAATTGTAAAAAAAGTTAATTTTGAGCTAATAAAACGAAGAGTTTGGCACACGGGAAATTTAAATAGCTGTGAAAGCTGGTAACAGTAAAACATAAATGGTTTCTCTTATAACAGGAACACTTAAACGCTCGCCATAATATTTAAATCTCCTGCTATGTTTGGAGAAGTTTCAAAAAACGAAGCGTAAATGCTGAGTTTATAATTAAAAGGATTTGGTGACAAACCGAAGCAGCTAGTTAAACTGCCACATAAACATAATATATCAATAATTTATTGTCTGGTCTAGTTTACGACAGTACGGTACGGAGTGATGACGACAGACTGATTAGCAATGTGTTTTGGGAAAGACCAGATGGTAAAAGATCGACAGGAAGGCCTAGAAAAAGGTGGAAAGACGCAGTCAGGAAAGACCTGGAGAAGATGGAAGTAAGGCCATGGGAAATAATAGCACAGGATCAGAATCAATGGAAGACAATAGTAAACGCGGCAAAAACTCACGAAGAGTTGTAAAAGCCAATGATGATGATGAGTTTACGACAGTGGTAATGTTATCACATTGACAAAGTAGCAATCTGCTAAGTAGCAGCGCATTTCCAATGAAACGTCAACTTACATTTAAGTTGTATTTGACGAGTAAATTTGATCAGTTTTTGCGTCGATCCTCTTACATAAATGTGTGATTCTGTTTTAACAGTCACTGGATAAGGGTGTTTAAGATAGTTGCACATTGATAACTTTTTGGTCATCTATATTACTACAAATATATACTTTCAAATATTTTTGTAGTACCCAATTATAAGTAGTTACATATTTGACCTCGATAATACAATTTAATAAGATCTTTGCCAAAAATTTGGTACTAATTATAAATGTTGCTAACCTAATGTGTATTTTAACAGCTAACCTAAAATAATTGAAAAATACCACCCCTTGATTTTTGGCAAAGTCACTCCTGTTTCCGTATAATTACCTTTTAACTTATCTTTCAGAAACGGTGATGTGCTGCAACTGACGAAAACGCCAGTGAAGCGCCAAAAATACGTTTTGTCCTTCGTTTTTGTTATGTCTCAGGTTATTTTCTTTTCTTTGTCACTATTTTATTTTTAATGCTGACAGTCGAATACATATTGGATTATTTTTGATATTATAGATGTAAAACTACCCGAAGTACTGAGGCCTCCCGTATACAAAATGTACTCCAACGCATTCGGTGTTAACATCGCAGAAGCTGAAAACGAAGATTTAACGTCTTACCCCAGTCTGGCAGATTTTTTTGCCAGATCTCTTAAAAGTGGTGTGAGACAAGTAGACGAGAGTAGCTGTCTTGTATCGCCATGTGACGGGACGGTCCTCCATTTCGGGACTGTTGATACAGAACAAGTTGAACAGGTAAGTAACAACTTAAGAATTATTTCATTTAAGTACAGATAAAATCACTACATTATACATGGTGTCCAAAAAAGATTCCGGGGGTTATGTTTTATTTACAGCTACTGGGGTACAAAGTTATTTAGAAAAACTAATGTTTTTAAATACCGACCATTGACACTTTATCTAATCTTAAACGAAGATGGATAACAACGCATTGACCCACTGCAATTGATAAGTTAGAAGTATGGCAAAATCCGTTTTTCAAGAAGCATGTCCTTAAATTGTAATCTTAAAACACTTACAACCCTTGGACCAAAACGCCTCTTAATATTTCACAGTAACGTTCGGTATTCACTATAAGTGTTCACTCGTATTGGTCTTCCTGGAAGTACATCTCAATGATGAATCTTTCCGACATTGCAGCCCAGACTATGACCTTTGGGCTATCAGGTGGTTCCTGATGTTTATCTTTTTGTTTGTCCTTTGTCCAGACAGCTCTACTTGTTAACGTATCCGTATAACTGTAAGTTGGCTTTGTGATTACACAAAATGTTTTCATAGTTTTCAGAGAACGTGTGTACAATTTTATTTGCAAATCTTAATCGATTGGTGTAATCAGCATCTTCAGTTCTTGAATCAAATGAATTTTATTGGTACTTAGATATAAGGCTTTCTTCAAAATTAACTGCAAGTTGATTTTTTGATATCGAGTGCGTGACTTCTTTTACAAATTGGTAATGATGGATTTTTCGATCTTTTCTTCACCTCTAAGATATAGTACGGGACCAATATTTTGAATTCTGACAGTTGAACCAGTATTTTTGAATATCCGAATTAACTTTCTAATACTATTATCACTTGTTACATTACGATAATGATATTCCTCACGATACAAATACTAATTACGAAGTATGGAATCATTTGCCTTTTTAACTATGCGGGGTTACTTCGCTGTCCACACTTCCTCGGTGATATTATCCAGTCTAACAGCTTTCTGATTTTTTAAAGTACTTGGGCAACTTCCTTCTTTGTTAATTTGGTGAATAATGGTGAGTGAAGATGACAGAAAACAAATTATTGCATACAGATAATAAAATACAAGGCACAACAATATTATTGTTGGAACTTAAACTCTTCATGGATCATTATCAGAAAATTGTGACAGACGAATGGGACAAAATGGTTCTTTTAAGGAAATATAAACACAAATTGTCTTTAAAGATAATCTTGTTACTAGAGTCGAAGGATTTTATCTCTTTATACTTATTCTTAAATATTTCCAATCTGAAAGCATACAATATCTTTAAATTTCTGAAAATAGTGCTATTAATATTAAATTCAATGTGTAATTAACATGAAACCTTCGTAAATAAAAGTTTGCAAGTTACTTTGCGATGATTGTTAAAAATTTTACATTGGCCAACAAAATTTAAATAACGTACACCGATGCACAAAATGGCTTTAAATACTAAAAGACGAAAAACCTAAAGCGATCTAGTATTTATCATTCATTTTTTGTGTTCAATATAAAATTTTAATAGACTTTTATTGTTCAGGGAAAAGCAAGTCATACATATATTTTTCAAATATTATATTTCATGAGTGATGTTGATTGTATAATTTATAGGTGAAAGGAGTAACTTACTCATTAAAAGACTTTTTCGGCGAGCAAACAGGAAAAGTTCAAAAATACAATGGAGACTTCAAGACCTCTTTATTGCACAAACCACATGAGGGAAATGTATTGTATCAATGCGTTATCTACTTGGCACCTGGAGACTATCACAGGTACGTTAATATTTGGTTTTATATATTGGTTTAAAAGCCCAATTTACCTAATTACTTGCTAGTATTACTTGGTGGAGATTCATTTGTAGTTCTGTCAAGCCTTATAATACTCTTCTGATAAATATCATTTTGCTAGCTTGGAGATTAAAATTATCTTTTTGCGGTATTAGTCCCACTCTCCTATGAAGCTGTACTACAACCTTATTTTAGTCCTTAGTTTATTTTCATTTGTTGTGTTTCCTTTGTCAACCTTCTACATAAATATATACCCATTAAAGACAATAACGTCTTCTGAACAGGCTGATGTTTCAGCACAAAATGTCAACAGTATTATTGTTGGAAAATCAAATTACAATAATTTAAATATGTAGGACATGTTATACAATCAAACATAGACAATACGGAGATACTCATCATTCAAGGGAAGGTAGAAGGCCGAAGATCACGAGGAAGATCTCCAACTAGATGGAATGACTGGATCACAGAAACTTGCAAAAGACCTATGATCGATGTAATAGAAATGACCAAAGACAGAAATCTATGGAGACGGACCACAAACGACATCATGATGACCACTACACTTCCTCCATGGGGTCAAGATTGAAGAGGAAGATTGTTGGTGTTAGCACAACGACTACTGTAAAAATTTGTACTTAGTAAGCTCTGACTGGTTGCTATCCCCAGTATTCCGTAGTCTTATTCAAGGAAGTGTACATATAGCACAGTGTACAATAATACAATACTAGAAATACTTAAGAAAGAAACCTAGTTGAATGGACAAGAAACCTTAAAAAGAAGCTTTTAGTTTACTTTGCCTAAATGTTAGAGCCACGTATAAATTAAAATGTTATTTAGGTCTTTATTATATAACACATCCCGAAACATTTGACAAATGGTTCTATTGGAAAATATTATTCATACTTATTGAAGGAGTAGAAGACCTGAATATAATAAGCTTCTTCGGTTGATAATTCAGGACTTGTTTCTGTATACTTCTTTGATTGGAAGTCGAATGTTAAGGGCAACAGTTGATCGATAAAATAAAAAATTGTATGATATAAAACATAAGTAGGTAATAATAATAGTAGCCAACATACAAACAAAGGGGGGAATAAGAACATGTTTAAGATAATTGCCTTGCCAATCGTTCGAATTTAACCCAATTCGTATATCAAAAAAGTAAAATAACCCACTTTATCATACATATTTTAATGTTTAATCGTATATAAATTAGTGTGTAAGTTTATGGGAAAGGTTATCATAGGACAGATAAATATTGAACTTGCAAAATTGTATTATTTTTATATAAACAATTTCCGTGTTAAGACATTATTTTCAACAGCTGTTCTTATCTCGGATGTTATTGACCATTTGACAATAAGTAATTATAAGCTTGGTTGAAATTTGTACAAAAAATTAAAAATATTGTTAGTGTATAAAATTTTAAATATTTTGTTTATATGTGATTTTTATTAAAGCCAATAATTGATTGTAATAAAAATTATATTTTTAATTATTGTATTGACGTTTTGATTTCCACTCCGGAAAACGTTTTCAAAGAAGATTATTTTAAGTAGGGGGTTATTATTATTGTAACCCTGTAACCTATCGTTATTTTGGCGCTTTTGTTTGCCGAATGGACCGGTGACTTATTAGGCCTCGACCTTGTAGGCAAATATCCATTCTTTTTTAGTTGAATATTCTGAGAGCGGTCTTATGAGGATTTCAAATTATGATTGTTTTGTGTTTTGATAAAATTTTAGCAAAAAATATATGTAAATGTAAAGCACTTTGATTTGATATATTCTATCTAATATTTCTTAATTCTCACTTACCGTAAGATTATCTGGATATGTTATCTGGTTATACTGAACACTACCACTTAACGAATAAGGCTTCACAGACTGTTTTTTTTTTTCAAACAAAATTGATTACCGAAGGAAATTGTATGTTAACCAATTGTGCCGGGATGATAATAGTTAGAATTTAGACAATCTTAGATGTTTTATAATATTTTTTTATTATTAACATAAACAATTAAGGAAGCTAACGACATTGAATTTTATTATCTCTGTATATTTTTAGGTTTCATTCGCCATCTGAATGGAAACCAACGCACCGTAGACATTTTTCGGGACAACTACTTTCTGTGAATCCCAGCATTGCCAGTTGGTTACCAGGTTTATTTACTCTCAATGAGAGAGCCGTTTATCTTGGACAATGGAAATATGGATTTTTCTCATATACTGCAGTAGGTGAGTTATGCTCTGATGAATAATTGATTAAACATCTTATTTTACTTATTAGATCATTAGTTGTTGTTGGAAAAATCGTAACATTACGACCGAATTGGTTATATGTATAGAAATCCTTTTACATAGTAAAATATTGTTTATTTTCTTAAAATTATGTATAAACGTTTAGAGTAACAAAAGAAAGGACAGTTTTCTTTTCTTTTATTTCGGGTACAAGAAACCAATTCGCCACAGATTTTTGTTTAGTTGAGGAGATAAGTTGTGGAATGCAATTTTAGATTCCCCATTTCTCTATTTACATCTTCAGCAACGTCTGTTTTGCCTTGCAATTCTTAGAAGGCACAGATTAAAGCAAAAATCTGAATTTTGGTTTCGCCAATAGAAATCTTAGGATATCTACTTTCGAGGTTTAGAGAAACATTCTAAGGAAATGATCAAAATATCAATTCATATTTTATTGATAAATGAGTTTTTTTCATTATTGATGTGCAGATTCGCTCTGATATATGCTATAGATTCACTCTTGTGTCTAAGCATCAATCTGTTTATATGGTTGATATCCTCTTAGGGTATCTTATTCCAAACCTCTTGAAAACTGTATCTTGATATCAAAGCCAATACCAGCCAGGGTTTGAGAAGGATACAAATTTAGGACATATAATATACACAATGCCCAATACATGTTCGATTGGGGATATTTGAAGCCATGGTAAAAAGTGAATTTCAGTCAGCTCAAAGTAGTTCATTGTTAATCTGACTACATGTGATGTGATGTGATGTGATACCTCTAATGAACATTAAAGGGTATCCTTCCGTAATCTGTAGACTACCGATTTGCTATTGATTTGGTCATGCAGATGCGATCTTGTAAGAGGAACAACCGTAGATGACGGTAATAATGTCCTATGGACTGGTCATATGTCTCGGGTTGTTTGTGTTTGATCATCTTAATACCAACATCTTGCTACAATACCGATACTTATATGCATTCTTTCTGCAATTTTCTGAAAAGAAAGTTCAGTTTCCCGTAACCCAACAATCTACCCTCTATCAAAGTCACTAAGTTGGCGATAATTTGCTCAGTCATATCTGTACTCTAAATAACGTAAATATGTCTAAACAATGTGTGCAAACTCATTATGATAAATTCAAAATGAACTCATATGAAATTTTAAAAAATAAACCATCTCTTACTGGGTGTTCGGATGTCATGTAGTATATTTATCCAGTTGCTGTAGACCCATATTCCATAGTATCGGTGGATTGTAATTCGGGATTTACAATATTATTTAGCCCTATATGATTTTTCCAAAAAGCACTTTCTAATTATCTTGTAATAAACAGTAATAAACATGATACCACTTTAATCTTGAGCAAAAACATGATATGGCAAAATATCAGAGAGCTAAAAATGTCCGGGTTATGATAAGATTTTACTTGAAATAGGAATACTTAAATGTTCAACCTCAGCTAGTTTTGATTATTACATAAAGGAGATAACAAAGCTTACAATTATTTTTATACTGATTTTGTAAATAGAGATAAATAAAACTAATAGTTGCAAAAAGATTAAAATTTTGTATCTAATTAATAAAGTCAGCAATAAAAGATATACTTGAAATTACAACCTTACAAGCATTTCATATTTTTTTTTTTAATAAGAAATCTGAAGTTGGTTATAAAAGAGTTACGTTAGTAATGTATAAAAAATATTAAAATAGATAAGTATTAATCACATAGTTCTATTAAATAACCCAGCTAGAATGCGCTACTTTTAGGCGGAAAAAATAAGGAGGCAAAAAATTTGAAAATTAAACTTAACTGAATATAAGAAAATTTTGAAGGATCTCGCTTATGTTAGCTTTATTTAATATTTTTATCATGAAGTAATGAAGTTTGTGGCTTACGTTGTCATATTTATCTTGTAAGCAAGCAAAATTATTATTTTATGCCATAAAAATGACAAAAAAAACTTATCCTGCAGGTTTAATATTACACTTAGGTCTAGATGGGTTGAATGCCTGTTAGAAACTTTTCTTCTCTATTTTCTTCCACTATTCATACATTCTTTCATTTTTCTTACACATGAATTCAAAACTCAGACCATTGACCAAGGAGCCCCTCCATTACTTTCTCTTTCAGTACATCCATAACAAGAACTAAGTGAAGAGCCTTAATGCAAACTAACCGTTATAGCAGTCCTTACTTTAGTGTACGCTTCCTCATACATCTTTATAGCTCTTGTCTAGGAACTGTGTCATAAGTCTTTTCAACATCTATAAATATCAAATGTAGCTCTCTTTTCTTCTCGCTGTTTGTATCTATAAACTGTCTCAACGCAAACAAGGCATCCGTTGTTTTCCTTTCTGGCATAAACATAAACTGTTCTTATCCTATCGATGTCTCTCTCCTTAACTTTTGCTCTACAGTTTTCTCCCAAATTTTCATTGTGTGCGACATTATCTTTATCCCTCTATAGTTCTTTACAGTCCTGATTGTCCCCTTTATCTTTGTACAATGCTACCATCACACTTTCTCTACATGCATTGGGCATCCTTTCTTTCTTATATATTCTACTCATAATTTACCACAAAATATCAACCCCTTCCTTTCCTAGAGCCTTCCAAACCTTCACAGGTATTCCATCAGGTCCTACTGCCTTACCGTTCTTTGTCCTATTTAATCTCGCTGTGCTCGGTATTGCATTCCCATTTAAGATACCGCATCCTCTGTATCTCCTCTGGTGTCCTTCATTTAGCAACTTACTACAGTACTCATACTATCTTTACTTTATTTCAACATCGGTTCTTAACACTCTTTCATCCGCAATATTAATCTGCCGCACATGGGTCAAGTTCTTTGATGACTAGACACTGCGCTATGGTCGCCACTTAATAGGACGTCAAATTCATAATATCGGAGGATGGTAGGCACAGTTTAAATGAATAGGCTCCGATATTGGCCGAAATACATGTTCTGTCTTGGAATTTCGTTAGTACAACCAAATGCCCTTCATGATCGAATCCTTTTTATACAATTAATTATTCTAAACCACAAACCCAACGATGAACCAATGTATATTACAAAAACTATCTAATTAGGATTTAAAAATACACTCGTATGAGTACAAAATTATTATTTTTTGGCCAGGACATTATCTTACTTTAAAAAATAAAAACCACTTTCACAAAATGCCACGTAAATATCACCGGAAACAAAAGTGAAATTTCAAACATTAAGTATAAAGGGCCATACTATGTGTTTGACTCTTATTTACTATTTTTCCTTTTGTATCAAAAATAATTTTCTCTTTTACAAACAATCTCGTATAATTAATAATTATAGCACTCTCCCTGTATAACGGAGTTTTCTCGGAATTTAGACTCTCAGAATTCAGAATCTGAATATTTCACTTTTATTTAGGCCCATAACCAATTTTTTCATTATGATCGATTACTATCTCCTACTTTGTCGAAAACAAGATTCACCGGCCGATGCGTTCAAAGTTATTTTCACCTGAGAATTGGAAGTCCACCGAAAGATTTCCAATAAGATAAATAGAGCTTTATGACCAAATGGAACTCCAATTTTTACGTCATTTATTACTAACTTCAGTCTCCTTCCACGCCTTTTTGTTTTATAAAAATTGTAATACAGACAAGTCATTAACTTGTCTATTGATTTAATCGATTAATTATTCTTTTATATATGTTTTATAGCTGTGTTCTATGTTTCTTTGGGTGTGTTAACCTTTAATAAGAACAGGAACAAATGCCGTCTGAGAACTGGAGTACAAGGAGCTACATACCGTTATTCTTCTTACGATGCATAACCATTTCCTGATAGTGTACCTTTAGGTTACCGGTATAATTAATCCAATAAATTTTCAAAATTTGTCTGTATCATCACATTTCAAATGCTTCAGTTTTTCATCGATGATTGAATAAGATTCCAAGGATTAGTTTTTGCTGTATGCTGCTCTATTTCTATCGATACATAGCATAAGTCATTACAACTCTTTTACCAATTTTGCTGATTATCCTATGGACATTTTTTTGTTAGAAGGACTTGATAGTTTTTATTAATGCTTATTATTATTTTATTATACTTAATAGATGAATGATTGCAAAGAGGACGGAGAAAAATATTTATTTGGTTTTCCTATGTTATTTAGTCATATTTTGAAGTCTTGAGAAAGTTGGCTAAGATTACTTTAACAACTGAAGTTTCCCTGGTAGGTTTTTATAATTTCCATTACTTATTTATTTTGGACCTTTCAAATTTGTTTGGGATCTTTGGTTTTTTGGTATAGTTTTCTGCTTTTTAAAGTGCCTTATTCGAACGGGACGTTTGCTATCATCATTGCAATATGAACTTTCTCTGTTGCACTGCGAAATAGCTTGGTTTACGTTCAAACCAGTTGCGCAAGTCAGAAAGCCAGAAGCTATCGTGCCGTCAATTGTCCTTGAATAATTATACAATGCTTATAGTAAAATAAACATAGACTTAAAGGTTATAATATATGTCAAATGAAAGCCCTCAACTAGTGGATCAATTTTGTCGTATTCTCCAATGCTTGTAGTGAGCTGTTTCTAAGATAATTGAAAAAACCGCTAAGTCACGAATCTTAAAACTCTCGGTTCATAATTACCTAGATACTTAATACTTACTAGATATAATATTTTATGACGATATCATCTATGTATTATTTAAAAGAATTATTTATATTTTGATTTAATTGTTCTAGGTGCTACAAACGTTGGTACTGTAAAAGTATACTTTGACAAAACTTTACAAACAAACAAACCTTTTAAGAAACAAACAAAAGACGAAGTGTGCCTCGGTAATTCGATCGAACTGAAGAGGGGTGACATAATGGGAGAATTCCGAATGGGCTCAACCATCGTTTTGATCTTTGAAGCTCCAAAACATTTTAGATTTTCTATTATGCCAGGAGAAAAGGTTCAAATGGGACAGCGAATGGGTTGCGTTTTTGAACAACAGCAAAAGTTTGTAGATAGGTTAACGAATGAAAAAGTAGATATTAGAAGTGTTAGTTAATTTTATTTATTAATTTTCTCATAGGTATTAAATCATTGTGATATTTTTTAATAAAGCTGAAATAAAGAAACTTGTTGTATTTTTTCTGTTACATTCTACCAACTGAACTAAATCCCATCTTTCTAGTAAATTTAGTAATTAATTTTGTGCGATGTTGATTAAATTTCGACTTCGACTGGAATTCGACAACCAAATAAACATGGATATCCAACATTAATTGAGGCTGTCTACGTGAGAAGGGCACATACGATAAAAGTGGGTTTTGAGAAAAACCACTTTGAAATTTTAACTTGCTATAGACTACTATAGCAAGTTATATATAACTATAACTTGCTAGTTGCTATAGATACTAATTTGTTATTTAAAAATTTAGAACGCTTACTACACATTAAATATCGGTAAAAATAAAGCTTATGTTTAAAAATAAGGAAATACAAAAAGCTATTATTTGCCGTTTTTAGATAGAACAGGAGATTTTTTATTGAAATTAATTTTGCATGTGAATAAAAAGAAGTAATATAGAATTAAATACTTTTTTAATACATTACTTAATACATTTTTAATAAATTAATAAACTATCCATTTAACATTTCATATTTAATGAAGTTTATATCAGCTTCATTTAAGAATCTGAAAAGGCTTGTAAAACCTTCAACTTTCTTCTGGTTAACCACTGGCCTGATGATTTTGTTGTAGTGACAGTCTGAAACTGTTTGTTTCTTGGACTCCTTGTTTCCAAAATCTGTACAGTTTAAAGTTTTCTGTATAACTTCGGGAACATTAAATGCCATCGCTACGATCATACTTTATAATAACGTACTTCATCATTTTGAAGGGAACTTTGTTTCTAGACACAGGTTTAGGCAAGAAAAAAGGTTTAAGGAAAGAGTCTAAGTCTTGAAGAAAAGTCACTGTTCATTTTTACTTCAAATCGCGAAGGATTTTTCCTGTTACCATAACAGTAAGGTAAGGCTTAGGACTTCCTATTACTTCAGCTTTGTTAATGGCCTGGTTGATCACACTAAAATTTCTGTCACATTGGGAAAAGTTGTGGCCTCAAACCGGAAACAATTGTATGGCAGTTACTTTGGATACTCTTTCAAACCACGATGAAAATCTTGTAACAGTTAAATTTCTGTTGTGCCCTACTTCGGCATCAGATAACAACACAATAGTTTTAATGGTAGAAAATTTACTTATTTGTATTTTGTTAAAACAGTACAACCAAAACATTGTTAAACTGTTTGTTCGGGCTGTCAGGCCGTTGTCTTCTGAGATTAGTTCTCGATGTTTCACCAACACTAGGACAAACGCGACCCATTAGCAACGGTCGGAGTATACCGAATACCATGCACGTGTGGAATGGTATATGTGTGAACCACGAAAAGACACACAAACACACGAAAAAATGAACATAAAAGCCATTTTAATTTTTAATTATGTAAAAAGTAAGAAGACTGCATACTTGGGGCACATTATACGAGGAGAACGATACACTTTTCAGCAACTGATACTCGAAGGGAAGATAGAGGGTAGGAGAGGTCTCGGACGTAAAAAAATGTCATGGCTGCGCAATATTCGACAATGGACAGGAATCCACAGCTATGAAATGATTCGCAATGCTGCTAAAAACAGAATTATTTAATCCAGAATATTTAACATCTCACCTGACAAGACGATGTACGGTGGACGCCTACGCAGAAATGCACGGCACCTTAAGAAGAAGAAAAGCCATTGTCGTTTAGGACATATCGACAAATCTGCCATTGCCGAACACGCTTTGGGAAGCGGAGAATATCGGATACTCTTTGAAGAAGCGCAGATGCTGGATAAAACATCCCAGTACTACCCACAATTATATCGGGAAGCGGTGGAAATATATAAGCATCCAAATAATTTTAATCGGATAGTATATATATATATATATATATATATATATATATATATATATATTATATATATATATATATATATATATATATATATATATATATATATATAATATATATATATATATATATATATATATATATATATATAGTATATATATATAATATATATATATATATATATATATATATATATATTTATATATATATATATATATATATATATATATAATATATATATATATATTATATATATATATATATATATATATATATATATATATATATATATATATATATATAAATACAAATAGAAAATATAAATATGGCCTCCATAGTACAACGCGGCGTCAGATTCAGCTTACAAGCGAAGCAGTAACATCTCCATAAGATGCCAACCCCTAGTGTTGGCAAAACGTCGAGAACTAATCTCAGAAGACAACGGCCTGACAGCCCGAACAAACAGTTTAACAAGTTAGACGATGGCCGTGAAAGCCTAACGCATTTTATCAACCAAAACATTCTTTTGTAAAATTGGGTATTGTAGTAAATAAGAAAAGGAAGCAATCCCATAGTGAGAAAATATGGAGAAAGAGTAAAAATCAAATGTGAACGACTCGTGTCAAAGAAAAGAGAAAGACATGCCAAAGCTTGGATTTAAAGATTATGAATGGATTTTTCCAGCACAAAGAAACCCATAAATTTACATGGTTACAACCAACGAAGAAACTGGAATCAATTATTGATTATCTAATCCAGCCACTAAAAACAAATGATGCAAGGATTTATGTAGTAGTGAAAAATGTCGGTCTGACCAGTACATTTAAGTAGCTAAAGTTAGTATTAACTATACAAAATAATACTACACAAATCAAGAACAAAGAAAAAGAAAATATCATCGATTCTAAACCTAAAATAATAAATTATAATAGAAGAAAAAAGCACAAATCAATCTAGTAAATATACTCAGACTGACATTCTAAAAATGGGAATCCATTTAAAATAATTGAATAAAACCATTAAAGAAAAAAAACATCAAAAAAGCAAAAAATACAATAGAATACAAACCCACAAGCATAAATTTCAAATATCCAGGGAAATAAGATTAAAAAATGCATTCGTATGCAAGCCACAGGCGAAGAAAGAAAGAAGAAACTAAAATGGAAGAAGATGAAAAATAAACATAACCTTAAGTTCGAACTCATTTAAATGTCAAACTAAAGATCAAATCAAAATGTTAAATTTATAAAAGTATATTTTAACTGTGATGTTAAACCATAGTCAAATAGATATTTTAAGTGTTAAATTATTTATTATTGTTATTTAATTTTTATTTTATTTAAATGGAAAGTGAAGACGAATTTCTACATATTTATTTTACTCATGTATCTCAGTTGTGTTATGAAAAGGCCAAAGAACATATTGTAAGTAAACAGAATAAAAGTATTATTTTATTAATGAATTTGTTTAAGTTTATACAAAGAGAATAAATATTTTGCCTATAATTCTTGAAGCAGATGACAATGATTACTTTTGTTTAAATTTATTATTAAATGAATTGTATTAAAATATCACTTTCTAGAATACAAGTAACACAATTTTCTATTCTATTGCTCTACAACTCAATTCGAGCCCTGGCTTCCCTCAGCAAACCTCTTTATTATATAGTCTGTAGCCATTCTCCTCCACCATTGACTGTCAAGGAGATTTCTTTTGTCTCGTCCACAACATCCTATCATCACTTTCTCAGTCTCTTAATAGTCTGTTTCCCTCTGCATTATTGCATTCAACAATTTTTTGGAAGCATGTTTTCTTCTATTCTCAATACATAGTCTGTCCATTGAAGACACTATAGAACATACTGATATAAAGGTGGTTCTTTATAGATCTATATTTAATAATTGTTCTGATAACATAATTTTTAACAATAATACAATAAGTTTTTTTTAATGTTGAAATAAAAAAATATATATACTCAGCTGGATGAAGATAAACTGGATGGTGTTTTGCAACAACTGTCTAACCCACATTTGTTTACAAATCAGGTTAGATGTGTCAAACTGTCGATCATAATGCATACTACATCAAGCAAAAATGATATAAGCCATATCCATACTCGTGGAGGCGTTTGTGAACTAAGTTATAAATGACATTTGTCAAATAATATAAAAACAGACATTTGTCAAAATAGTCTAACCCATGTTTTCATTATAAATATGTGGGTTAGATGCTTGTTGCAAATCTTTATAAGGGTCTTTCCATTGTGTGTACCAGATGCAAAATATTAAATTGAACTAATCTTTATTTTGACTTTGGTAATATATGTTTTGCGATTACTTGAATGTTGGTGCCACAAATGCAGACAAAAAATTGCATTATCAAATAACGAAACCAGTTGTTTATTATATAAAATATTGGAACTGTTGCTTGATAGTCAAAATTCTGGTCAGCAAAATATTGTAGGAATATGATAGGAATATTATAGGTATGATTTGGAAGGAATTGGATTAAATTCTAATTTTGAGATTGATCAAGATTAAATCGAGTAGGAATTTTATCAGTAACAGTTACTGACTATTATTAACGAACTCCGATTAGAAGTTTTTTTGTGTATTTTAAATTTCGGAGCTATAGAAGGTTATTATAAAATGACCATTTATATTTTTACAATTTTGCAAAAACCATCTAAGTGGCTTTAAGTTATTTTTGCAATAAACTGTTTTACTAATTTTGCTTTTGTACGGTTTTTTAGGTAGCCTGTAATTATTGAAATATAAAAATGTTAAAATAAAGTCTTATATTCTATCAGTGAATTTCTGAAAGTAGGTAGACACAATATGCTCATTTACTCTTAACCATATATATGTGGTTTAGACTATTATTGCAGAACACCATCCAATTATGTGTAAAGTGTATTATTTGGTTGCCCATAGACTGCATAAATAAATGTACTGTACTTAATTTATTATAACTGAGTTAAAGATATAAATGAGTTTGTAGAATTTTCTTTCAAAAATGTTTGTTGTTCTTGCAGTCATTTGGAGTGTTAGATTAACTAGAACTTGAATATTCTACAATTTGGTAGAATGATAGCTTAAGTACCCTTTTAAAATAAGTTGACATGTGCTATGTAACCAATTTGTTTGTTGGGCTACTGATGAAATAGATGT